GGTCCACAAGATAGTGCCTACGTGGCCGAAAAGGAGTTGAAAATTATTTATAAATTAAGTTCAGGGTAATAGAACTTTAGTATAGTATAAGTGTGTCTCTTACATTTCAGGCATTGTACTTGTGGATTTTCGCAATATTATTTTTATAATTATTATAATGTCCATATAATTCGTTCTCCATTGAAAAATAAATAAATAAAAATTCTCATTTATGAATCAACCACAAAAAATCACAATTAACCCCAAAAAAAAAGGTTTTTCTTTCTGGTTTCTCTTTTGACAGTGATGAGATATCAGTGAGCGAAGGTGAAAAAACAAAATGGCACAATGTCAATGGCAACCGCATTTTCAAACAAGATTGAAGGAAGATGTCTCTTGGAAATGCAGAGGTATTTCAATTAACAAATACAAAGACAAAAGCAAAGGAATTCGTAATTGGAGAAAAAGATTGCAGATGCCACAATGTTGCAGCAGCTCATTTCCAGTTTCATCAACAACCTGGAGGGGATTAGAAGTAGGGCTGATCAATTCTGAGGGAAAACAAAGAGGTGACTGTGAAGTGGGATGTTTTGTGAATGAAAATGGATGGAAAGTGAGAAGAATGATTGAGACTGAACAAGAAATGAGGAATGTTGCTGCTGTTCAAGCTCAAGCCTTTTATGAACCTCTTCTTATCTTCAATGATTTATTCTTTCAATTCTTTCAGGTTCTTCACTGTTTTTGAACTCTATTTTCTACATTACTTTGTATATATGGGGTTAGGTAGTTGAGTGTTGTCTCGTTTTCTTTGCAGGATAGATTGGTGCATTGTAAATGTTTCCCAACTCTTATTTTGTATCAATTCTAGTAGCATTCGTCTCGTAGCTGGCTTATCTTAGGACCTTTGTTATTCATTGTGCTTTAGTTATCGCATTAGTTTGTTATGGGTTGTTGCCCCCTCTTGTGTTAGCTGTTATGATTGGAGTGTCTGTTGGAAACAACCTTTCTAGTAGTAAGATTTACATACACGCTACCCTTCTCAGACCCACATTCAGAACTATATTGGGTTTGTTGTTGTTGTTGATGATCTTTCTATAATTCCACCAGCACTGTTCTATCTGTTATTATTCATGTACTAGTGTTATTTTTATCAACATAATAAAGTGAGAATTATGATTATGTAGGCTGAAGTACTTTCAGGATTACTTTACAGACTGAAGAATTCTCCACCAGACAGGTAAAAATCGAAACTTGGGAATGAGGTTGAACCTTACTGTTAAGAATATCGAAGTGTATTAAACTATGCTTCAGTTCCAAACAAGATAATGTAAGTGCATTGGGATTGTATAATATTTGTAAGCTAACATAACTTCATTCTCTGCTGTGGTGATTCAGTGATTCTGAAATTAGATTATTGCTAATGGAGTATATTTGAGTTATGATGGCTTCCTTCATTTCTAATGAAGCTGAAACTAATTCGATGTTTTTTATGAGATCTCGAATAGACAACTAACCTATAGTTGTGCTACTCCAACTAGATCAATGTTCGTTCTTTTGTACTAAAAATGAAAATAGTCATTCAGTTCTAACTTTCTGAAATACTTGACTAAACAGGTATGTATGTTTAGTTGCGGAGGCCTCAAGTGACACTCCTGAGGTAGAACAAGATCTTGTAGGAGTCGTTGATGCCATGGTGTATAGAGATACTGATGTTCTTCAGTTTCTTCCGGGAGCAACAGAATATATCTATATTTCTGGGATCGCTGTATTGAACAACTTCAGGTCCAAGATTCAATGCCAGTCCATTTAAGTAAAATTGATGCTTTCTTTGACATGGCGCAACATACTTCTTATTTATGTTTCATTATCTTCAGTAGTTCAGCTAATAAAAATTGTCAAAGAAACATGATTCAGGAAATGAAGTTCTTTCATAGAACATTATTTGTCATTTCGTTTACTTGCAAACATAAATGATAAACAGATGAGTTAAGTCTGCCTTTTACTGTCAAATGGTAATTGATTTGACACATTAAAAATGTTGATCAACTGTAGGAGGCGGAAAGTTGCAACTGCTTTGCTTAAGGCCTGTGATGTTCTTGCAAGATTTTGGAGATTTGAATATTTAGTCCTAAGGGCTTATGAGGATGATTTTGGTGCTCGACAATTGTATACAAATGCAGGTTATATAGTAGTTTCAGGTGATGCTCCATGGAAGACAACTTGGATTGGTCGAAGAAGACGAGTTCTTATGGTTAAACAGGTCTCACCTGAATCTACTTACATCTATTGAAACAGAAATTTCGATTCAAGTCTTTTTAACAGTTCCTTATCGAGTTAGTCATTCCAAAATACCCGACGAAAATTATATAAGGTGTGCAAAACTGTAGCATTTATATTTTCAGGAAAGAGTATTCCATGAATCTTGTAAATACATAGCTGCTCTGCTGTTCTATCAATATATGAAATTCCTTAACAAGATTTAAATCTCTTTGTTAACTCTTGTGGATGACTGGGGTCTAATTATGGTAAAACTTTTGGCTTACTTCTCATAGACTAAATTTAAGAAAATAAGCACATTGAAGAAGACAAATTATTAAGAAAACCAAAGAATGTGGTATAAATGTAAAGAAATACATACAGTAGGGATTATTGTGTATCCGCAAAGTCATTGATAAAATGTCAGTTTTAAGAAGCTTCAATGTCTTTCATATGGTATCGGAGAATCCAATCCCCGTTCTATCATCATTAGCTTTATTCTCTGTACATTCTCTGTTAGACCAGCATTTCTATAAATCTTCATCAAAAGCTCAAAATTGTGGTCATTATCTGGCTCCAACTCGAACAGATGTTGCGCAGCTAACTCTCCTATTTTAACATTGCCATGTCTGTAGCAAGCATATAACAATGCACCCCAAACTGTTGGTCCAGCTTCAAATTCCATTCTCTTCATTACAAAATCAAAAGCTTTGTCTATCAATCCTAACCTCCCATATAGATTTACCATACAACTATAATGTTCCATCCTTGGACTAATATCATACCTCTCTTGCATAGCTCTAAACAGCCTCTCCGCGTCCTCTAGTTTCCCTAAATGAGCACATGCCGACAACAAAGACACGAATGTGACACTGTCCGGTAGGTCACCAGATTTCACCATCTTCTCAAAGTACAACAGGGCTTCACAATGCTTGGAATGAGCTGAAATGACTGAATTCCATGACACTACATCCCGTTCATGCATATTTTCAAACAACCATCTCACTTGCTTCAACTTCTTTTGGTCTGCATAGAAATCAACCAATGAGTTAACAATGGACAACTCTTGATTAGTCCCTCGACGATGAACCCATCCATGAATTTGTTTCCCAATTGAGAAAGGTATTCTGGCAACAAGTAATGCTGATATAGAAACAGAGTCAGGTTCTATTCCATCACGTATCATAAGACGAAACAGGTTTAACGCCTTAGTTACAAGCTCATGCCTCATGTATCCAATGAGCATTGAATTCCAAGAAACCAAATCCTTTGTCCCAATTTGATCAAAGAGCTTTTGAGCCTTAACAATATCACCACATTTTGAATACATATCAACAAGTGCATTTAGAATAAACCCGTTACTTCCAAACCCACGACGAATCACATGGCGATGAACTTCCTCTCCTACATGAATCAACCCAACACCTCCACAAGCCTTCAATGCACGTGGGAAAGTGTAACAATCAGGCTCTACACCCTCTTCCACCATCTGAAAATACATGGCTAACGCATCTTCAAACAAACCCTTCTCAGCATACCCCGATATAATCGAATTCCAAGGAAATGCTGAGGTATTTCTCTTAGGCATTTTATCAAACAGTTGATGGGCCTTCTGAGTTTGTCCACTGCAGGCGTAAAGCCTAATCAGCTTCGATGAAATGCCCACGTTTTTACGTAAAAGCTTCTCGGGAATGAGTTCATGAACACGGACACCATGATCAATAGCCTGCAATTGAAAGCATGTTTCTAAAAGGGATGCAAATATTTGTGGGTCGTAAATATCAGTGCCATTTTTCACAGTCATTTCTAAGTTCCTAATGACAGTTTCAAGAGCTTGGAGTTTGGTTTTGGGTGGGAGTTTCTGATTCTGAACCAGTTGGTTTTGGCCTGATCTTTGCAGACTGATGCGGCGACTCTTTGGGTTTTCCATATGAAGTTTCTGTTTTTTTGTGTTTTCATTTGTAAAAGAGAAATTTGGGTGTGTGGATTTTGCAGAGTGATGATGCGGCGATCTGAAGTTCATGCTTATTGTATTGTTTTGCTGCAATGTCAGAGCCATTGTCTCCATTTGCAGTATTTTTCTGCTCAACTGAATTAGTGAAAAAATTATGGAAAAAGCAATTGAGAAGAGTCTTATTCCCTCAATGTGTTCGTATATGTTACTTGAATCGTTTTAACAACCTCCTCTTGAATTTTTAGAAGTAGAGTGAACGGAAGTGAAACCTCAAGAGCATAGAGGAATATTATTCTTATTTATAACTTGGTCTTGTTATGCGTATAAAGTTGAACTAATAGATAAAATATATTCACGTGCAAATATTTATAATTTGTCAAAATCACACATGTATATTAAGATAAGATAAAGGTCAAACTCATTAACTCTAAATTTGTTCGGTTTTTTCATTCATTCATGTACTTTAACTATGTCATTTTCCTATTGAATCATTAAATCACCTATAATTTGTTCTTTTTAAATACAGTTGACTAATTTCGATCGGCTTTTTCTATAGTAAATGTCTTCAATTCTGTTTATATTGTAATAAATTTGATCGAAGAAATGAAGTCAAAGTGTGCGTTAGTCTCGTTTGTTTTTTAAACGCGTTCGAATGACTTTAAGTAAAACAAGATTATTCTTGAATATTTTCACTATCAATTGGATTAATGAATTTTGAAACAACATATGTATCCTTCTATCAATATTCCTCATAAAATTTAGTCCCGCATCAGCCAACGATGTTAAAAATAAATAAATTATGGCAGTTCAATGATTCAATAGAAAAATAACATAGCTGAAATAGTTGAGAAAAAAATCCAAAAAATTTATAAGATAAAAAAAAGTTCAACTTATCACAAGGTAAAACAAAGTGGCGAAATGATTCCGCCACTCCTGCGGACGTTAGCAACAGGCTCCATTGTTCTTCTTGGTGGAGCTGTCTCTATCTCTGCACTCACCACTTCAGTCCTTCGCCATAAAGCCTTAATCAATAAGGTAAACAATTGGGACGTAATTTAATATCTATTTTTTTTTCCTTTCAAAAAAACCCATTTTCAGATTTTTCATCTTCTTTGATTTTATGTGGCAGGCAAAGTTTGGGAAGCTTTGTTTGTATTGTAGAGGTATAGGATTTTATAAATGTAAGCTTTGCAACGCAAATGGTACAATAAAATGGTCACCCCTTTATGATCCTCTATTTATAAATCCATGTGTTTGTCCTACTTGTGAGGGAAACAAGTGAGTTACTTCACTTCCATTTCAACTTCTCATATTTTTTTTGAATTATTCAACTAATGAGAATATGAGGATTTTGCAGGATTCAGCGATGTCTCAATTGTTTGGGAGATGGAAGGGTTTAATTGAAGACTGAAATGCACTCTACCTGTTCGATAAAAGTACAATGCCAACATTTGGAATTCAGAGGTGTTTTTTCCCGTGAGAAGTTGTGGGGAGGTCAACCAACGAATAGTTCACAATTCAAAGGTGTAATTCTTGAGCAAACATTTTTATTAAGGATGATGTTTAGTTTTAAAAAGGACTCATTTTGGATTTTGATATAACTTCACAACACAGTATTCCTTGGTAGCTCGTTGCTAGTTATTAGTTCGTTTTGTACTTATTCACTTCATTCGCTCTCGTTCAGTAGTAGTTCTAAAGCAACAAGATCTAAGTTTTACGGAAAGAAAACAAAATCAATGAAGTACCCCCATTGCTATTAAACATTATCTATACTCCATTATAATAAAAGATTGAAATAGGCCCAGCAGAGTGAATGCATTTGTAGATCTCTGAAGCATTTCTCCACCTGCCTTGTGAAATACTAACAAACCACAGAACGATACAACTATATGCTATCAACTGGGCCAAACCCAGAGTACTTATTTTACTTTACCACTTGTAACTAAGCTAATGTAATAAGCTTTATCGAATTTAGAATGGAGGCATTGCAGGAGCAACCATGAAATTAAGGGGCTTGACTTCTGATTCCGGTGCTGGTGCAACAAATCCCGAGCTTCTGATCTCAGCCATTTCACGACGTCCTTTTCCCTTTTGCTCTGCACATAACTTGGGTAGATATACACCTATACCCAATCAAAGACATGTCCATTATTCATCAATCATCACATAATCAAATCATTTGACTTAGTAAAATACCTTCACCAGCAGCAAGATTGAAGTAGAGATCAATAATGTTAGGACAGTTGTTGTAGCAAGCAGAGGAACAGAGTTTTCTAGTAAAACGATACTCAAGCAGAGCGTCAGAAGAAATGCCAAGGGCATTTCTATCTACGCCACACGCCTCAATACATTCATCAGTTTCAATCCAATCCTTGAGTTTATCAGACTCAATTTCTGATGTTCGGCATATATATACTTCTTCACCACTCCTACGAACATGTTTCTCTAAAACACAACGCTTACCCGTGCTTGATATTGCAAAGGCACAAGAATCTTCATTCAAATTCTCGCACGCAATATGCCCTGCATAGGATTACGCATACATAACATGTTATAACAAATTAAATTACACCGATGAAATTAATTGAAATCTATTAAAACTAAAAATGGCTTACCTAAAGTGAGTTGTACCAAGAAAGCAAGTGCAAAAGCAACAATGGCTAAAGTGTTCAAGCTATATAATGAAGCCATTATGATAACTTGTTAACTATATAATCAACTCTATTGCCTTGCAAGTTTATGTTGTTTCTCTTTTGTTTTTGCTTAGAACAACTTTAAATAACTATTTATAGAGGCAAATCTTTAACTTGTAATAGATTCATATTAGACTAGGGAAAATACTCAAATATGCCATTGAATTTTCAGAAAAGGCTCATTTATGTCATCAGTTAAAAGTTTGGCTCATTTATGTTATTATCGTTAAAGAAAAGGCTCATTAATGCCATTATTTTTTAATGATGGTTTTGCAAAACCATTTTTGACACGTGACCAATTATAATTCGGCCACATCATCAATTTTTTTAATTACAAAAAATCAAATTTTATTCAGAATTTAGATTTTTTTATTTAAAAAATTGATGACATGGTCAATTAATTCAGCTTCGTCATCAATTTATTTAATAAAAAAATTAATTCAATTTTTTTATAATTATAATTTTTTTTATTAAAAAAATTAATGACGTGACCGAATTATAATTGACCACATGTCAAAAATCATTTTGCAAAACCACTGTTAAAAAATAATGAAAACCACTGTTAACTAATAACAAAAATAAGTCTTTCTTAAAAGTTCGATAACTTATTTAAACATTTTCCTATTAGACTATAAGTAGTACTAGACATGGGCACTTGTAATAGGATCATATTAGTAGTACTAGACATGGGCACTTTTAACAGGATCATATTACTAGACAGGGGTGACTCAAATAAATTGGTGGTGTAAAATCAAATTTGAATAGAAGTTTTAAATTTGAATATATTTTTTTATAAAATTTATTATAGTTAATTATTTAATTTTTTTTGAGGCATAATTTATAATTTGTCAAATTTCTATTATTTCTCTACTTTTTTTTTATAAAAAGTTTTTATTTTCTACAAATAATATTTGATATTTTTTTTACAATAAAAATACTTATAACCTATTATTTTTGTTAAAAAATGAGGTCCCTCGAGTTTTGGGGCCTAAGGCAATTACTTTTTTTTGCCAAGTTGTAGACTTGCCCCTAGTTTAGGGGTGTACAAAACTGAACTGAAAAATCGAATCAAATCGCAAATCGAGTTAACCTGGAAAAAACCCCGACTATATTTGGGTTTGGTTTAAACTAAAAAAACAAATTCGAGACCAAACCAACTCGACATTATATATGTTATTTTAAAATTTATGTTATACATAAAAATATTTACTTTGATATAATATTAAAATATTTCTTATACTATTTCATAGTTTTATCTTTTAATATATTATTTCAAGTTTAAAACTTAGAATTCAAAATGGTACAATAAAGATTATAGTTCATATATGTTGATAATTATAATAAAATTTAAATCAAAATCAAATTAATATTAATGTAAAAAGAAAATCGATTGAACACTAAAATGACAATAATATTGAATATTTGTTCTTTAGTTTTACATGGTTTAGATAATAAAAATACATAAAATTTCAATTTGTAATGTAACTAATGCTTATTAAACTTATTTTAGCATGATTTAGTACTTTAAATTATGATCATTTTCCGTGTGAGTTTACAATTTAATTAAATATTTTTGTGTCATCAATACTCATCTCATATTTTATGTTATTTTTTTTAAGAAACACCTTAGATAATTGTATTTTGGTTGGACCAAAGAAATATTTGAAGTACAAATTAATTATGTGTTTGTATGCAAATTTTACCAAAAAATTCAAAAATCTAAAAAAATTCGAGGTTTATTATTTGGTTTGATTTATAAATTTAAGAATTTGACACAATGATTTGGTTTGGTAATTGAAAAACCCGAATCAACCCAAGGTTGAATAACCCAAAAAATCTAAATTTTATTAGTTTGATTTATAAATTTAATTTTTTTTATATAAATGGTTTGGTTTGATATTTGAAAAACTCAAACTAACCCGATCATGTATGCCCCTACCTAATACTAGACATAGGAACTCGTAACATTACGGTCCAATAGATGTTACATTTTTGTTTTAATTTACATGGTACAATTGAGATTTGAAGAGTCATTTAAATTTTTATGTGATATTTAAATATTTGACGTGTTAGTTATTGTGATTTATATCATTTTACATATTTTTCAAATAATATATAGTATTTTCAGTGTCCTAATATGCGTGGCACATATGGATTAAAGAGTCAATTGTTTTTTTTTTTATGTATTTAAATATTCCAAGTTGTTAAATCATTGTAATTTATAAAAAAAAATATGGCATCATTATTGTAACATATATAGAGGTATGCAAAAGGTTAGTCATAAACATAACATTAACATGAATATAATGGGGAGGTTATGAAAATGAAAGGTTACAAGAATAATGGTTATAAAGGTGGAGATTATGGAGATTATGATCATCTTCGTAATGAGGAAAGTAGTGGAGATAATGAGTGAGTAACTTTCTGGTGTAATAGACATTCACGTTATAATATTTTATGACATAAATAAATCTAAACATCATACATTACATAATATGCAACCTACATAAAATTAACAAATCAGTTTGAATGTACCTCACATGAATTGCTTCGTAAAATATATATAGCTACTTATTCTATTTTCTATAAATTTAAATAACATTCAAAAAATATGAAACACGGGTAAATAAATTTAGGGTAAAAGTTTACGACTAGTCATTTTTAGAGTTTGTAATTGGAAAATAGCCCCATATTCAAATGTAGTTAAAATGTATTTTTTAAAACAATAAATAAATTGTTTTTGATACGTAAGGTAGAGGCCAGAGGGGAAAAGGGGATTATGGGAAAGATCATAAATGTAAATTAAATCCTTATCAAAATAAAAATCCAAAGTGGCAAATTAACTATGTATACCTAAATGAAAAAATAGCCATATTGTTGTAAAATAAATGCCAAAAATAATATAATTGTTATAAAGAGAAAAGGCAAAAAATATAGATATTTTTCTTATTATTAAGTGTGTCTTGTAATGGTGAATAATACTCATCTTTATTTATAGGGGAAAAAATCAATTTAAAAATCACCATGTTTAATGCTAAATTTGTATATACGTTGTTATTATAAAGAAGTTCATATCATCTTGAAAATATACATTCATTATTAAAATGATTATAAAACGGAGAATCAAATTCAATTCAGTAGCCAATCAACTGAGCAACAAAGATTTCCCAATTCAGAGGTGTAATTCTTGAGCAAACATTTTTATTAAAGATGATGTTTAGTTTTAAAAAGGACTCATTCTGAATTTCGATATAACTTCACAACACAGTCATTCTTTTGTAGCTCGTTGCTACTATAAGTTCGTTCTGTACTTACTCACTTGATTCGCTCTCGTTCGGTAGCAGTTCTAAATCATCAAGATATAAGTTTTGCACAAATGGAAAGAAAAACAAAACAAGTAAAGTACTCCCATTGCTAATAAACATTATCAATACTCCATTACAATAATAGATGCATTTCTCCACCTGCCTTATGAAATACTAACAAACCACAGAACGATACAACTATATGCTATCAACTGGGCCAAACCCAGAGTACTTATTTTATTTTACCACTTGTAACTAAGCTAAGTGTAATAAGCTTTATTGAATTTAGAATGGAGGCATTGCCGGAGCAACCATGAAATTAAGAGGCTTGACTTCTGATTCCGGTGCTGGTGCAACAAATCCCGAGCTTCTAATCTCAGCCATTTCACGACGTCCTTTTCCCTTTTGCTCTGCACATAACTTGGGTAGATATACACCTATTCCCAATCAAAGACATGCACATTATGTTAGAATTGAAAATAAGCAGGTGTAAACGCGGAAGATAGCAAACCTCAAAAGACCACGAGTACGAATACAACGAGAAAATATACCAAAAGACACAAAGATTTAACGTGGTTCGGTCAATCGACCTGCGTCCACAAAGGAGATGAGCAATCCATTATAAATACGAGAGTACAAAATACAGAGGGAAACAACTTCAACCAATTCACTCGGAATACATGGGAGGGTTCACACAAGTGATAACGTATCAAGGTTGTGACCCATAAATTCTCCCCCTAACAAAAACTATCAAAGTCTTTAAGACTACATTGTGAATGCTGATTAAGTCAGAAAGAATATGTCTCTATTCATAGAGTTCTAAACATTTTCCTACTAGAAAAAAGATTAGTCAATCCAAAACTTTTTTCTAAAAGGAAAATCTATTTATGGTAGAAATTTAGGTCAAATAAAACCTAACAAATTATTCATGAATCATCACATAATTAAATCATTTGACTTAGTAAATACCTTCCCCAGCAGCAAGATTGAAGTAGAGATCAATAATGTTAGGACATTTGTTGTAGCAAGCAGAGGAACAGAGTTTGCTAGTAAAACGAGACTCAAGCAGAGCATCAGAAGAAATGCCAAGGGCGTTTCTATCTACGCCACACGCCTCAATGCATTCATCAGTTTCAATCCAATCCTTGAGTTTATCAGACTCAATTTCTGATGTTCGGCATATATATACTTCTTCACCACTCCTACGAACATGTTTCTCTAAAACACAACGCTTACCCGTGCTTGATATTGCAAATGCACAAGAGTCTTCATTCAAATTCTCGCACGCAATATCCCCTGCATAGGGTTATGCGTGTTATAACAAATTAAATTACACCGATAAAATTTTATTTAAGAAAAAAAAACGACTTACCTAAAGTGACTTGTACGAAGAAAGCAAGTGCAAAAGCAACAATGGCTAAAGTGTTCAAGCTAGCCATTATGATAACTTGTTAACTATATAATCAAACTCTATTGCCTTGCAAGTTTATTTTTTTTAGAACTAGGCCAAATAACTATTTATAGAGGCAGATTTTTCATGTAATTTGAAAACTAGTACTACAATTGAATTGAGGATGTCATCATTTTATTAAGGGATAATGTCCAACTACCCCTCAATCTATGTCCGATACTAAGATCCTATTATCACTGAACGTATTTTATTAATATTTTTTTACCATTTTTCTACCTACGTAGCATTATCTTGTGGGTCCAACGATGATTGTCTTTTTTTTTCAAACTAGTGCCACGTAGGCTAAAAAATAGTAGAAAAGTACTTATCA